CATTTGACAGAGCCTAATTTAGCCTCTATCAATTGCTGAAGCCTACCTTCTGAAGCCTATTTTATGACTACGTAAGAGCGTACACTTCCTGAGGTAACCAAAGAAATAACAAACACCTGTATAGCACTTACTATGTTATAGGCCGAGCACTTTATATATATTAACTCATTTAATCCTTACAACAGTTCATGGATGTCAATATTATTGTTGTAATTTTACAAATGAGGAAATTGAGGCATAAAAACGTTTAGCTTGCACACTTAATCAGTATGTTATTATGCTCAATCTCTGAAATAAAATTTAACTGTAAGATATAACTCTTCTTTATGGAAAGAAAGGAACACTTGTACACTGTTGGTGGGAGTATAAATTCAGCCATTGTGGAAGACAGTGTGGGAATTCCTTAAAGACCTGAAGACGAATGCCATTCAACCCAGCAATCCCATTACTGGGTATATACCCAAAGGAGTAGAAATTGTTCTATTATAGGGACACATGCATGCGTTATGTTCATTGCAGCACTATTCACAATAGCAAAGTCATGGAATCAACCCAAATGCCCGTCAAAGATAACCTGGATAAAGAAAATGTGGTACGTATACACTATGGAATACTATGCAGCCACCAAAAAGAATGAGATCATGTCCTTTGCAGGGACGTGGATGGAGCTGGAGGCCATTATCCTTAGCAAACTAATGCAGGAACAGAAAATCAAATAACACATGTTCTCATTTATAAGTGGGAGCTAAATGATGAGAACACATGGATACATAAGAGGGGAACAGCACACACTGGGGCCTATAAGAGGGTGGGAGGAGGGACAGGATCAGGAAAAATAACTAACGGGTACTAGGCTTAATACCTGGGTGATGAAATAATCTGTGCAACAAACCCCCATGGCACAAGTTTACCATATAACAAACCTGCACATGTACCCTGAACTAAAAAAAAAAAAAGATACAACGTAACCATTACAGAAGTAAAATGATCAAATACATTGTGTCACTGATAGGATATAGGCACAATTTTGTTTGTATCGAAGTTAATATTTTTGAAGTGCACTTTGCTCACAAACATCACCAAAATACATCATAACTTTTCATGAGATCTATTGCAAGAAATAATTGCAAAGGGAAAAATGTTCAAAGGTGTTAATATGCTGTTTGTAATAATGAGAAAAGATAAATAGCTGGTAGACCCACAATTGGAATAGTGAAGAAAATGAACATCAGCCAAGTTCTTGGACTTTGCTGCCATTGTTTTAGTCATTATACTTGATTGTTTCAAATTTATTCCCTGCAATAACTATGACGTAGGTGGTGATGTCATTTTTATGGAAGAGCAAACAGGGTCAGTCTAATATAATTGACCCAGATTTTCTAGAAATATTGGGCCCTTAACCATAGCATCATGAGCATGGTGCAATATTATATGTCATTAACAATGATAAGTATGGAGATATAGAAATCTATGCATATTTTAATTAATAAAACCTTCAATATATTTGTACCACTGTAATCTAGAAATTGTTAAAAGAAGTTGTAGGAATTTTATCTGATAGAATTATTTGGTTTTCTGATAGCTTTCTTCTTTTTTTTTTTTTTTTTTTTTTGAGAGATGAGGTCTCACTCTGTCACTCAGGCTGTAATGCAGTGGTGCAATCATAGCTCACCACAACCTTGAACTCCTGGGCTCAAGCAGTCCTCTTGCCTCAGGCTTCCAAGTAACTGGGACTACAGGCGTGCACTACGATGCCCAACTAATTTTTTATTTTTTGTAGAGATGAGCTCTTGCCGTGTTGCCCAAGCTGGTCTCAAACTCCTGGGCTGAAGCTATATTCCCACCTTGGCCCCTCAAAGCAGTGGAGTTACAGGCACGAGCCATCAACAGCCAACTGTCTTCTATTTGCATATAAAATTTGCATATAAAATAATTTTGCATATAAAAATGATTTTGCATATAAAATTGCATATAAAATATGCAATATGTTTTATATATATATATATATATATTTAAAATGTATACATTAGGACTAGGACATTTGTCCTGTTCTACTTGGCACTTGGCTCTTAAAGCAGATTTATGTATTTTTAAATTGTGAACTTATACTTTAGGTCTAGAGAAATGTAGGGAATTGTTGCTGTTCTCAGTTAATAGGAAGGTTTGATTTGGTAGGAAGCCAGTATAATGTAGTAGTTCCTTCAACTCTATAGTCAGACAACTAAGGTTTGAATCTTAACTTCACTACCAGCTGTGTGATATTTGGAAGGTCTTTTTTGTTTGTTTTACTATTTCCACTACAATTATTTTTTAATGAGAGAATTGATGTAAAGGTTTAGCAAGTCTGGCATAAAGTCTTAAACTAGCTACTATTGTTATCAGTAGACGTTATTACTTATTATAAAACTTTTAAGAGTTGGTTTTACTTGAGACCAGAATTGAGGTCTGTTAGACTACATTAGTTGTCTGTCTATTCCTGCCTAATTAACTGCCAGACACTTAGTGACTTAGCTCAACCACCATTTTATTCACCAGCTCACAGTTCTTTGGGTTGGTAATTTGGGCTCAGCTCAGCTGGATATTTGGCTGGGCTGGGCTAGGTTCTGCTGTTCTTTTTTGGCCTCTCTCCAGGGGCTGGTTTATAGGTGAAGAGTATCTAGCTGAGCCTCAGGCTCCTAATTCACACAGCATCATTTCTGCTACATTTTATTGGTTAAGTCACGAGGTTAGCCCAGATTCAAAGGGTGCGCAGTAGAGTTCACCTTTTGATGGGAGTTTCTGCAAAAGACTTTCTAATCATTTTAAAATTTGCCATATAAACAAAATAATGGAAAACCCTATTTCATACTGATTAAGATCAATAGTTTGAAGTTTGACTTTTGTTAGGGAGTAAAAAGGTTACATTTGATTGCCAGGACACTGTTAAAAGACTCAATAATACACCATTTATAAAAAATCAACTTTGATATAATTGATAACTAAAATTTTAAAAATACTCTTTTAGAAGTTAAATTGGTCTTTTTAGAAAATCTGAAATACTCAATAAATTAAAATGAAGACAGAATTAAAATGAGGACATAATTTTGATTTATCCCTAAAAGATAAGTTCACTTGTGACAAAGTAACCAAATACAGGTTTTCTAATCCTGAAGGGCAATTTCTTAAAGTTTGCACACTTAATGCCATATAGCAGTGAGCCCATTTTTAAACACTGTAATAGTATTTAACCTGTTTAATCTTGTCAGATTATATACTAAGAATAATTTGTGTCAAATACAGTAGGTGGCACTGTGATAAAACTTTCGTTCCTCTAAAGAGTTGCGTTCAGGCTTCATCTGTGTATACTCTTCTACCTGTGGTGTTGCTAAAAGAAAAAAAGGATGTTTCTAAGTAAGGCAAGTCTGAACAGAATGTAGCAACTTTGTTTAACTTAATACTCATTTATTTACAATTTTTTTTAAACAAAATTAAGTACAGTACTGTTAGTGTTCCTTGAACTAAATTCTACCAACGGTAAAAATGGAGTTCAGTATAATTGATCCAGAGGCACAGATCTTAATTTCTCAAAATAGTTTCATATGTATTCTCACTTCACATAAGTTACTGTAAACTTCTCATTCTTAATAACCAGGGTTTTAAATTATTTATTATGTAAGCTGAAACAGCAAAAAAGAAATGCAACATGAAGCCACAAAAGAGTACATTTTAATACGGTGATTCTGTTGTGCTTTCAGTATTTCATGGTGCTCTTGAGTCTTCTCCTTTAAACAGAAATCTCAGTGTAAAAATTATTACTTGGGGCCGGGCGCGGTGGCTCAAGCCTGTAATCCCAGCACTTTGGGAGGCCGAGACGGGCGGATCATGAGTTCAGGAGATCGAGACCATCCTGGCTAACACGGTGAAACCCCGTCTCTACTAAAATACAAAAAAAATTAGCTGGGCGAGGTGGCGGGCGCCTGTACTCCCAGCTACTCGGGAGGCTGAGGCAGGAGAATGGCGTGAACCCGAGAGGTGGGGCTTGCAGTGAGCTGAGATCTGGCCACTGCACTCCAGCCTGGGCAACAGAGCCAGACTCCGTCTCAAAAAAAAAAAAAAAAAAAAAAAAAAAAAAAAAAAAATTATTACTTGGATAGCATGAGCAGTTTTTTATTCCTCTGAATAGCATTTTGAAAGGTGAGTTTTAGAAAACTTGATTATTGTACATTAAAAGCACAAGGTAAGACTGTTGTAAGCGTAGGGACTTGGGTTGTGTAGTGTACTGAAGTGTAATGATGCAACTATCTTACTACTACATTTGCATTGATTCTGGTTAAATTAGTGCTTCCCAGTCCTGGCATTGCAGGTTTCTCAGTCATCTGTGGGGCATCTTTAAGAAGGTTTCAGGGATTCTGATTCAGGATTCATCACAGCGCTGGCCTGGTTAAAATCTTGCTGCCATTTTTAATGGCAGATGTGTCATGAAAAGTGACACACCAGAGCGTATTTCATCTTCTTGAAATTATCTTTGGTCTTTTGTTTCAGCTTTACTAGGAGACAGAAATCCTTATTTAAAATTCATTTAGCGTGTTTGTATAAATTACATTTTGAAGTAGCTAAACATTTAGGAAGCAGCAACAAAAAACATAGTCTTAGAAAGCTTTTATAGAGATAGAAATACTAAGTTTTTGGAAGCATATAGTAGTTATCAAATATGGAAAATAAACGTGTGATACTAATAAGCATTGTTTTTCTTCCTTAGTATTAAAAACTGCGGCTTAGTTGTTATTTTGGTGTTAAAACATGAAAATTCTAAATGAAATTTACCCTGTCATAATGTCTCCTCTCTCCTTCCCCCTTCCAGTTCTGACAAATTGGTTAGAATCTAAATTTAGACTGTGATCTCTTATTTGATTTTTGTTTCTCTTTTAAGTTAAAGTAACGACATTGCTTTTTTACCTTCTGTTTCTGATTGCCACCTGTACTAGCAAAACTGCAGTTGATTGTACATAACTATTTTCCAGCTGATTACCTGGCTCAGGCATTCGATTCTCTTTGTTTGGACTTGAAGACAGAAGAAGGAAAAACCTTGTTTTTGGAGTATCAAGCTGTTCCAGTAATATTAAGTCATCTAAGAATATCCAGTAAAGGACTGCTGTCTAATGTTATTGACAGTTTGCTCCAGATGACGGTGGAATCTAGTAAGTTTTTAAGTTCTATGTGTGTAAAGAAAGCAGGATGATTTTTCTGTCTTCATCTTGTCTGCATGTATAACTCCACATATCAGATACTATTGCTTTTTTTCTTTTGAGACAGAGTCTCGCTTTGTCACCACGTTGGAGTGCAGTGGCACAATCTCAGCTCACTGCAACCTCCAACTCCCTGGTTCAAGCAATTCTCCTGCCTCAGCCTCCTGAGTAGCTGGAATTACAGGCACATGCCACCACGCCCAGCTAATTTTTGTATTTTTGGTAGAAATGGGGTTTCACCATGTTGGCCAGGATGGTCTCTATCTTCTGACCTCGTGATCCGCCAGCCTCGGCCTCCCAAAGTGCCGGGATTACAGGCATGAGCCACCGCGCCCAGACTATTGCATTTTTAAATGCTTGAGAATATTTTTGATGCTATTTAATTGAGTCATTAATAATATCACTAAAAAATTAGGTAAGTTCTCCAGGGACTTCCCAGCTAAACACAAGTAGAACTGAGACTTAAAGCCAGATCTCTGACTCTAGACATAAGACTTATTCTGCCGAAGCACTGTAACTAGGTTTTCCAGGTTTATTTTCTTCTTCTGTCCGAAAATGTCCTATATTGTCTGATATGTTTTATCAACGTTTTTAGCTATTTGTAACTGTTAAAATATTGGACTTATAGTTGATGACTAGCTACCTAGATTAGTAATTGTGGAGTTTTGTATTTCAGTTTACTAATGTAAGGAATAGAATGAAAAGTGAAAAGTTAGTGAACTGAGGGATCCAGTATTACTTCAGTGCCTAGATTCCCAACTTGTTTCACAGGGATTTTTCTTCTAATGAGAAAAACAAAAATCATACCAGATGCAAATGTCTGTTCATTAGAAACAAATCTTTCTGAATATGACAGAGATGACATCTTTCTCATTGTCAAAGGAAAACAAAATACAATTTTATGAAATAGTTGACCTGCTTGGGTGAAATGACAATTGTGGTACTGCAAATGCAAATTTGAAAAAATTCTGTTAGATGAGATAGTCAACAGTCATTCACATTTGTTTACCATGTTCAGGTTACTCTCAAATTCAGCCGTGTGCAGTGGCTCATGCCTGTAATCCCAGCACTTTGGGAGGCCGAGGCGGGCAGATCACTGGAGGTCAGGAGTTCAAGGCCAGCCTGGCCAACACGGTGAAATCCTGTCTCTACTAAAAATATAAAAATTAGCCAGGCGTGGTGATGTGCGCCTGTAATGCCAGCTACTCAGGACACTGAGGCAGAAGAATCGCTTGAACCCAGGAGGTGGTGGTTGCAGTGAGCCAAGATTGTGCCACAGTACGCCAGCCTGGGTGACAGAGCAAGTCTCTGTCTCATTAAAAAAAAAAAAAAAACAACGCTGTGCCCTTCTTGTTCAAATTAATAAGCAGTATCTAATGGTGATCACTACTAAAGCCATATTGTTTTTCAGTGATGAGAAAAATTTGGAAGTTTGGAAATGGGTGAATCTTTGATGATGTCTGTGTGAAGAGCATTTACTTGCTTGAATTTTAATGTAAATTCAGTGCCTGTTGGTCAGCTAGTACAATTTATTAGAGGGATGAAAGATTGATCAAAGTGTAGCAAATACTTCTTTAGCTGTTGGTTTTTCATTTTTCTGGATTTGAGATTGGAAACCCCTTTTACCATGTATTTAATTTTCTCATGCTATTGTTTTTTTTTTTTTAATTTTAGATTTAGCGGGTATATGTGCAGGTGTGTTACATGGATTTATTGTGTGATGCTAACTGAGGTTTGGGCTTCAGTTGAACTCGTCACTTAGGATAATGGCATCCAGCTGCATCCATGTTGCTGCAAAGAACATTATTTCATTCTTTTTTCATGGTTGCATGGTATTCCATGGTGTATATATACCACATTTTCTTTATCTGATCCACCATTGATGGGCCTCTAGGTTGATTACACATCTTTGCTATTTTGAATACAGCTGCTGCAATACGCATGTGAGTGCAGGTATCTTTTTGGTAGAACAATTTCATTTCCTTTGGGTATATACCCAGTAGTAGGATTGCTGAATCGAATGGCAGTTCTATTTGACTTTTTAAGAATAGCCGTTCTGACTGGTGTGAGATGGCATCTCACTGTGGTTTTGGTTTGCATTTCTCTGATGATTAGTGATGTTGAGCATTTTTTAATATACTTATTGGCCACTTGTATGTCTTCTTTTGAGAAGTATTTGTTCGTGTCCTTTGCCCACTTTTTAAGGGGGTTGCTTTTTCTTGTTGATTTGTTTGAGCTCCTTGTAGATTCTGGATATTAGTCCTTTGCTGGATGCAGAGTTTGCAAATATTTTCTCCCATTCTGTAGGTTGTCTGTTTACTCTGTTGATAGTTTCTTTTGCTGTGCAGAAGCTCTTTATTTTAATTAAGTCCCAATTGTCAATTTTTATTTTTATTGCATTTGCTTTTGAGGACTTTATCTTAAATTTTTCGCCTAGGCCAATGTCCAGAAGAGTATTTCCTAGATTTTCTTCTAGGATTTTTATAATTTGACATCTTTCATTTAAGTCTTTGTTCCATCTTGGGTTGATTTTTGTATATTGTGATTTTCTTTGTTGAAAATCAGTTGGTTGTAGGTATGTGACTTTGCTTCTGGTTTCTCTATTCTGTTCCATTGGTCTATGTGTCTCTTTATATACCAGTACCATGGTGTTCGGTTACTATAGCCTTGTAGTATAGTTTGAAGTCAGATAACATGATGCTTCCAGCTTTGTTCTTTTTGCTTAAGATTGTTTTGGCTATTTGGGCTCTTTCTTGGTTCCATATGAATTTTCAAATTTTTTTTTCTAATTCTGTGAAGAATTATATTGGTAATTTGATAGGAATTGTGTTGAATCCATAGATTGCTTTAGGCAATATAACCATTTAAATGATCTTAATTCTTCCAATCCATGAGCATGGAATGTTTTTCCATCTGTCTGTGTCATCTGTGATTTCCTTTAGTAGTGTTTTATAGTTCTCCTTGTAGAGATATTTCACCTTCCTGGTTAGATGTATTCCTGAGCATCTTGTGTGTGTGTGGCTGTTGTAAATGGGATTGCGCTCTTGATTTGGTTTTCAGCTTGAATGTTATTGGTGTATAGAAATGCTTCTGATTTTTTTTTTCTTAAATATGTTGTTTTGATGTAAGCTACTGATTTTGTACATTGAATTTGTACCTTCAAACTTCACTGAAGTCATGTTTCAGGTCTGGGAGTCTTTTGGCAGGATCTTTAGGGTTTTCTAGATATAGAATCCTGTTGTCAGTGAACAGAGATAACTTGTCTTCCTCTTTGGATGCCTTTTCTTTCTTTCTCTTGGCTGATTGCTCTTGCTAGGACTTTAGTATTTTGTTGTAGGAGTCATGAAAGTGGACATACCTGTTTTGCTCCAAATTTTAGGGGAAACCCTTTTAACTTTTCCCCATTAAATTTGATATTGACTGTAGTTTAGTAATAGATGACTCTTATTGTTTCGATGCCTACTTTGTTGAGGGTTTTCTTTTTATCCTAAAGAGATCTTGGATTTTATCTAACGTTTTTTCTGCATCTATTGATAAGATCATATGGTTTTTGTTTTTAATTCTCTTTTTACATTTACTGATTTACGTATATTGAGTCATCCTTGCATCTGAGGAATAAAGTCCACTTGTTCGTGGTGGATTACCTTGTTGATGTGCTAGTAGGTTCTGTTTGCCAGTATTTTGTTGAGGATTTTTGATTCTGTGTTGATCAGGGATATTGGCCTACAGTTTTCTACTTGTGTTGTATCTTTGCCAGATTTTGGCATCAGGATGATACAGGGTTTTGGAGTGAGTTAGGGAGGAGTCCCTCCTCCTCGATATATTGGAAATAGTTTCAGTAGAATTGGTATCAGCTCTTACTTTGTTCATCTGGTAGAATTTGGCTGTGAATCCATCTGGTCCAGGACCTTTTTTTTTTTTTTTTGGTTGGTAAGGTAAGGGTTTTATTACTGATTCAGTTTTGGAGCTCGATACTGGTCTGTTCAGGGTTTCAATTTCTTCCTGATTCTATCTTGGGAAGTTGTATATTTCTGGGTAATTATCCATTTCCTCTAGATTTTCTAGTTTATGTGCATAGAGATGTTCATAGCAGTCTCCGAGGATTTTTTTTTTTAATTTATTTCTGTGGGATTAGTTGTAATGTCACCTTTGTCATTTCTGGTTGTGCTTATTTGGATCGTCTCTCTTTTTTTCTTTGTTAATCTAGCTAGTGGTTTATTGATCTCGTTTATCCTTTCAAAAAACCACGTTTTCATTTCGTCGATCCTTGTATAGTTCTTTTAGTCTCAACTTCATTTACTTCTGCTCTGTTTTTATTATTTCTTCAGCTAGCTTTGGATTTAATTTGTTCTTTTTTTTCTAGTTCCTGTAGATGTGACATTAGGTTGTTAATTTGAGATTTTTCTTTTTTATGTAGACATTTAGCACTATAAACTTTCTTCCTTTTTTTTTTTTTTTTTCTTGAGACAGAGTCTTGCTCTGTCAGCCAGGCTGGAGTGCGGTCGCACGATCTCGGCTCACTGCATTCTTCCCCTCCTGGGTTCAAGCTATTCTTCTGCCCCAGCCTCCTGAGTAGCTGGGACTACAGGCGCACACTGCCACACCCAGCTAATTTTCATATTTTTAGTAGAGTTGGGGTTTCACCATATTGGCCAGGCTGGTCTCAAACTCCTGACCTCCAGTGATCTGCCCACCTCAGCCTCCCAAAGTGCTGGGATTACAAGCGTGAGCCACTGCGCCTGGCCTAAACTTTCTTCTTCACACTGTTTTTACTGCATCCTAGAGGTCTTAGTATGTTATATCTTGATTTTCATTGTTTCAAAGAATTTTTTTATTTCTGCCTTAATTTTGTTGTTTACCCAAAAGTCATCTGGGAGTAAGTTCTTTAGTTTTCATGTGTTTGCATGTTTTTGAGAGTTCCTCTTTGTATTGATTTCTATTTTTATTCCACT